AGCGACCGATTTTGGTGGTAGCTAAAACTTGATTTTTTTATAGTGAGATAGAGAGAAGACCTGGACGAAATGTCTACGTCTTTACTTGCCTTTGGAAAAGCAACACATAGTTATTCCAAAGGACAAGTAAAAAGGGGCAGCTATAGACACCCAATTTCATCCGGACCCACAAAAGTAATGAAATGGAAGTCTATTATCAAGGAAAGGAGCTCCCGAAGCATGGAAGCAGCAAGGCATGACATCAGAGGGCCTAAAAGCCCAAACAAGCTGGTTTTAGTAGCCTAGAACGGGCTGTTGCAAAACCGGAACTGGCCATTCCAAGTCCATAAAAAGGCCTAAAACTTAAGTTTGGAACGAGTCGTTCCTAAACTGGAACGGGTCGTTCCCATAATTGGAACGGGCTGTTCCAAGTTACAAAAAAGGGCTAAAATCTTAATTTGGAACGGGCCGTTTCAAGATGCGAAATTAACACATAATGTTCAGATCTAGAATGGGGTCGTTTCGAACCTGGAACGGGCCGTTCTAACAACTTTTTGATGTCTATAAATAGTAGACTCGGCCACAGTTCTCAAGGCCACAAAATTTCGTCCAAGACTCCCTGGAGCTCGAAATTTCTCTCTCTCCCCCTATTGTATTTCTTGAGTATTGTGAGGCATATTGTAGTGTGAAAGGTTGCGACAAAGTGCCTAAAAGTATCCATAGTTGAAGATCTAATAAAGCTACTACGAGGTATTTCTCATCAATCTCTTGCTTCATCTTTCACTTCTGTTATTTTAAATATTGTTATAATAAAAGTAACCATGTAGATATTTTAGGATTAATCGTGTAATTTAAATTTGTAGAATGTAAATAAATATTAATAAAGGGATCTAATATTTAATTTATTAATTCTTATCACGTTAACTTAATCATAGGGTACCGATTAAGGGTGCTGTAGGGGTGCTTAATACCTTCTCTACACAGGTAACCGACCCCCGAACCCAATTTTGGTTATCAAGGCCATTATTGGATTTTTAAAATCCTTTTCTTTTTCCAATGTTTTGAGTAAAATATTGGTGCCGACTCCATGAACTCATTTTTCAAAACCATTAATTAAGGATTAGTCTAGTGTCTGGGCATTCCTTAATTGATGACATCTTTAAAAGGATGTCTAAACCATAGGTCGCGAGATCGGAAATTTTCGGGTTGCGACAGTTATGATGGATATATTAGAAATATTTTGTAGTATTTAGTAATTTTATATTAAAACCTTTGTAATATTACTATTATATAATAGAACTTTATTTAGAATAATTATTTGTGTATTTTAGTATCTTATCTATTCATAATTATAGAAAAACTTATTAACCTTATTAATTAAATGGGATTAATATTTGTAATCTAGAAGCGGGGTTACAGTTGTACTCTATAACACTTCACATGGTGACACTTTACATAATTTTTCATTGGTCAAAATCATTCACCAGTCAAAATCCTCTGTGAGTAGCCCTTTTTGAGATGCTTGGCTACTTTTAGGATCATCTATTGTCTCCGCAAACAAATACTAGACCCTACAATGTGTTTTGTCTTCACTTACATATTTTTTAGGAAACTAGTGGTTTTCCCATTCCTAAATCACTCAAAATCAAACATGTTTAACTATAGAATTATTAAGCAATGAGCCATTGTAAAGTAAATACATCTTATTATAGGTAATATAAATTAACACATGTACAAATCCTTAGACCCCTCTCATTCTCTGTGTCCGGACTATTATACTACTTGGGAATTGGAGAGCAATATGAAGGAAAACAAAGCCATCATTATTTTCAGTTCCTAATTGGCTTTGTGGGGTTTGGTTTCAAGGCCAAATCCAAATGGGTAAAGGGGATCATAGTGAGAATCTCCAACATTCATTGGCAACTGATCAACGGTTTTGAACCATGTCCTTGGAAGCTTGCCACTAAAACCATAGTCACCAAACAACACATCAGTGACACCATGTCCCTCAGAACCTGGAAGCCATGCAGCAACAAGTGCTTCAATCACATCAACATATGGCTGTATAACCACAGGACGACCAGAGATGATCACAGTCACACATTTGACTCCTCCACACACATTGTTTATGGTGTCTGCCCCTTTTCCAGAGATTGTCAAATTCATGCTATCACCATTTGTTTCAGCATATGGTGTCTCTCCAACTGCCACAATGGCATAGGAAAAGTTGTTGGACTTTACATACTCTAAACTTGGGTTCTCCTTGTAGACCACCTCGGTGTCTTTGTCAACTGTGTTCTTGATAGCACTAAGAATTGTTGTACCTGCAGATCATATAGGCCTTGTCAATATTGCATTTCAGCCTAGAGTCTATATTAATACAAATTTAGCATATGTTTGATTTTACATTCATGATCCACGTTTAGACAAAAATCATATCAAAATTTATGTAAAAGCAACTATTTGTTGCATCTACTGATAGACAAACTTTTGTAAGCTTAAATAAGTTTGTAACTAAACAGACTCCAAGGTATTCAAAATGGTAAGAAGTTGAGAAGGAAGCTATAATTTACCTTTAGTAATGTTGTTGCCACTAAGTCCTTGCCATTCAATGGTCCAGCCACCACATTGATATCCTAGATTATCAGCATGGCTTCCAGCAACTAGAATTTTTTTAGCCTTTTTAGGAAGAGGGAGCAGTGGCTCATCTGCATTTTCACCATTCTTCAATAGAACCAATGATTTCCTCACAGCTTCCCTAGCCAAATTTCTATGCTTCTGTAGAGTTACATTGACAACACAGTTATATCAGAACATGGTGGATATATAGATAGAAATTTTTTCTTTAAAAAGGCAGAAAACTGATTATTTTTTAAAAAAAATGTATCTTTAGGAGAAAATGATTAAACAAACAGGCCAATTTTTACATATTTTTTGATTGACTAACCTGATTCCCAATCTGGTTGGCTAGACTATTGTCAGCCAAAGGATTCTCAAAAAGTCCCATGACGAATTTTACCCTCAAAATTCTCTTTACTGCATCATCAATTCGGCTCATGGGTATGATATTCTTTTTCACCTGTGTGGTTAGGCCATCTATGAATTCTGTAAAGTTATAGGGAACCATTACCTGCAGCATTGCCAGAGCAAGTATTAGAAGATGATACATGTTATGTGAAATATCAATTAAGGTGATATCATAGATAATCAACAGAATTGAAATATTTTACCATGTCAATTCCAGCAGTGACTCCAGCATAAATGGAATATGAGTAGTTAGCATGAGGAGGGTAAGTAATCCTATCAATTCCCTGCCAATCTGATATGACAAAACCCTGCAAGAAATCAAAGGATTTTAGGCGTTCATAATTTTGAATTCAATGGTGCCTTGATGAGTTCAGTGTTGTTACCCTGAAGCGTAGTGTGTTCTTGAGAAAGTCAGTGACTAGATTATGATTAGCATGCATCTTTTCTCCATTCCAGCTTGAATAAGAGACCATGACCGATGCAACACCCTTGATGATTGAGTTATAGTAGGCTGGCATGTGAATGCTTAGCAATCCATGTCTGCTTATCACTGTGTTGTTCTCATTGATTCCCTTTGTGGTTCCACCATCACCAACAAAGTGCTTTGCGCAGGCTGCAACTTTCTTCCTGTGCAATTTCAATAACATAAATTGATCATTGTCATTCCTCAGGAATACAAAAATCACAGCCAGAATAAAATCAAAAGCGCTTTGAAAAAGTCAATATTTTATATGATCAATTCTCAAATTATAATGCAATAGTGTGAGTTCTTACTTTCCAACTACGTATGGAACACCCTTTTTGGAGTTTCCAGGGATTTCACCTTGCAGTCCTGGAATGATCTCAGTCATGGCTTGAACTACCTTATGATCTTCACTATAACTTTCATAACATCTGCCCCATCTTGGATCTCTACAAACCTATTCAACATATTATAAGGTAAGACTAAGGTAAAAAAATATATGGTACAATTATCAATTAGGATGTTCTCGCTTACGGCTATGCAAGGTGCAAAGGCATATTGAATTCCAGTTGCTCTAACTTCAAGAGCTGTTGCTTCTCCAATCTTCCTCACTAGTTTAGGGTCCCTGTTTGATCAGAGTTAAACTTCATTAAGATACAGAAGCATATTATAATTTATTTGCTTTAACTATAATTAACTTTGTAAGTTGTAACCAACTTTTATTCAATCACCTTTTGTAAGCGCGAGTTTAAAATATGTCACAGCATCACAGGATAAAAAACGAGTGGAGAAAAGAATAACAAAAGAGCAAAAATATACGACCAAAGAATTCACAACATGACATGTACAAATTGCTATTATTATGACTTTCTGACAATAAATTGTGTTTGGATTCTCAACTTAACATATTAAAACGCAGAAAAACACAACTAATAATTGCTTGTCTGATTCACTTGAAGTGTGTGGATGAGAATATAACCACGCAATAAATATTTGATCACGACAATAATAACGTTTTGGGCACGAGTCATTCTACTTTTATTGTTGTTTTCAACCACGTATAATTGTTAATTCAGGTAAGCATTGTTTATTTGGTTTGGGCAATTTAAAAATCATTATCGATGTAGTTAACAACATGAGAAAATAAAAATCAATGTCAATTTCTGGTTCTATCTCAAACCAACGATTTTGTCAAAAGGTCTTTTCGTAATGATGATTGTTGAAACTAAAATTGTCATATCAATTATGAGTTATATAATGAGACAGGTAATTTACCTGGTAGCTCCTAGTCCAACGTTGTGAGGAAAAATTGTTGCATTATAGACATTATTATGGCCATGAACAGCATCAATCCCATATATCATTGGAATTCCCAATCTAGTTGATAAAGCACCCTTCTGGAAATCATTCACCATGTGAACCCAATCCTCTGCTGAAGCCTTTGCCTTTGGAACACTGCCACCCCCACTTAGCACACTCCCTACAAAAAAACAAATAAGTAAAAGCTTGCATAAATTCCCATCACCCACTATTTAAGAAAAACACACAGTTAAGTCTACCGAGGTTGAATGTAATATAGAGTCTATATGGATACAAGTTACAAACATTTTTAAGAATATATTTTACAAAAAATAAAAAATATTTTTCTGAACAAACACTTCTAAACTTATATTTAAACAAGCTTATCCATAATTTGAGATTTAAATCATATTATCCTCATTATAATTTTTCAGAATAAAAAAAAAAACAAAAGAAACCTTACCAATATAATACTTTTTCATGACTTCAGCAGAAGCAACCGAACGATCAATCTGCACCATTTGGCCAATTTTCTCCTCCAATGTCATCCTGTCCATAAGATCCTTGATTCGAACATTGAGTAGCTCTTTTGGATCTTTATATTTGAAGTGCTCTGATTCTGCCATGGCTACCCAACATTGCAGGAGCATAAGCCCCACGAAAAAAATGCAAATTTTGACCATTTTTTCTTCTCCTCAATGCAGCTTCACAATGAGAGATCAGAAACAGGGTCACTCCAATATTGCCATCAATGATAACTCATGCAGCGATCGTACAAATACAAGTACAACAAATCATCAACAACATAACAGAATCTAAATAAAAAGTTTTTGACAAGACAGGCCAAAATTAAATCATAACAGTAAACAAATAACAAAAAACAACATTGTCAAATTCATTCATGCTGTTTAACAGAAGAAGAAAATAATAATAATAATAATAATAATAATAATAATAATAATAATAAAAGAAGATGGATCCACATGCAAGTCACAGTGAAAACTGAAAAGAGATACATACTACACCAAGGTTCTAGAACATAAGAGGAATGAGACTCTCACCTCTGTTACTGAGATATGAGAGAGAGAGAGAATGTGTGTGTGCTCCTTCATGTGCTACGGGTGTATGAATATATAGAGGGGGAAAACTCAACAGGGTGTTTTGTTGAAATAATTGATCACTCCAAAATCCAAAATAAAGTTTATTTAAAGATATGATTCGGTTTCACTGTTGTAACCAATAACAAATCTTGTTTTATTTTTATTTTAAATTAAGAAAAGTCTTTTTTTTTTTTTTGGTATATCTCTAAAGAGTTAGAGACTAATATGTTAAAGTACATAGATTAAAGTACAAAAGTTTCAAAATACATAAACTAATTAAATTCAAAAGAAATTCATAAATTAATTAAATCATAAGAAATTAAAGTACCAAAGATTAATTTAATTCATAATTAATTAAATCATAAGAAATTAAAGTACAAAAGTTCTAAAATAATTCCTAAAAGTGCAGGATATCTATTCATGTTAATATATAGGGAGTAATATTGGTTATATTTTTAAAAAAATATATAAAAGTAGAATTTCAAACTTTTAGTCAAGGATTAAGATGTTTCAACATGAATTAAAGTCAAATATACAGAAATATAATTTTGTCTTTTTATAAAAACATGTTGAATACTTTTAAATATATATATATATATATATATATATATATATATAATTTGTTATAAATTTAATTATATTATATATAGTAAATATGATTGTGCATTCTACAAGTTAAATACTAATTATCAATAAGTAAAAATAACTTTGTATTAAAAAAATAAATTATTTATTATAAATAAAAAATATAACTTGTATGTTTAACTATATTTATTAATTATGAAATCTCCTTACTTTGGAAAAGTCAAATCCTTTTTAATGGGATTTAGCTCATATGAAAGAAAAGATATACATTAGAGGATAAAGTAAAGTCATAATTGTTATCTAGAAAATTAAAGATCGAGAATTGTAAAAAAATTAAATACATGTATAATAAAATTTAAATTTAATTATAATATCAACCAATGATTTTTAATTAACAAATATTATTATATTTTATTTTTCTAAGTAAAATCTTTTCATTTTAGAGAGGTCAAATCTTTTTTAATGAAAATTAGTGTCTCTAAGTCAAGGAGTGTACTTTATCCTATAAATTATACTCACAATTGTTAACTATAAAATAAATGATCAACAATTATGATAAAATCAAATGCATGTATATAAAATCTACAATTAACCATGTTAAATGAAAAATCTTGCCTTTAAGACAACAGAAGATCTTTTATGTTTTAATGTTAACAAACAAAAGATTTTCTTTAAACAATGTGAGACCCGTGCCTTCTTTCTCTTTTTCTCCTTTTCAACTCTCACTAAACTCTCTTACTCTCTCTTTACTCACTATCTCTTGTTGATCCTTTTCCTTGGTGGTGGCTGAATTGATTCATAGGTGCGGAGTAGGTGTTTGTTTTTGAAGCTGTGCGGAGCCTTCTCAAGCCTCTCATTCTTCCCTTTTCTTCTCCTCCTTCATTGTCGCCTTTCTTCCCGAAGCTCGGAATCTTGCCCGAGGTAAGGAAAGCTGGTTATTTTCGCTGTGTTTGGCTGTGATTGAGTCCAGAACTCATTTGTTGGTTGATGATTGTTGAATTTCGAGTTGAGATTGTTGAAAAATGGGGTTTTGGGGGGTCTTCGGAGTTTTGATAAATTTCGGGGGTTTTGATGAAATTGTGGTTGCATGTTGAAAAAGATGGTGTTTCTAAGATGATTGATGAAAATGTGGCATTTTGATTGGGTTGCATGTGGAGTTTCTGTGGATTTTTGCAGGTTTGGGCAAATTTTCAAACTTGGTAAGGTTGCTGCTGAGCTTCGCGCTTCGCGCTGTTCATCACGCTGGGCGCGTGGCCACCAGGGGACCCCATTTGGCCAAGCTCGTCGGGCGTAATGATGAGTGTGCTGGGCGCGCTTGAGAATGTGGGTCTCTGGCTGGCCCGCGCTGGGCGTGACTTGGATCGCGTTGGGCGCGATACCAGTTATAGCATGATTTTGGGTTCTTGACTCTGCGCTGAGCGTGGCCCTTGTCGCGCTGGGCGTGAGACTCCTTGGGAGTCTCTGCCTTGTGGGCGCAGGGCGCAATTTGAATTGCATTGGGCGCGAGACCTAGGGGAGGTCTCTACCTTCCCTACGCTGGGCGCAGGTTTGTCCCCGCCAGGGGCATGAGACTCCTTAGAGTCTCTACCTGGTAGGCGCTAGGCGCAAGTGGTATTGCGCCAGGCGCGTGAGAGCCTTGGGGCTCACGGGTTGGGTCACGCCGGGCGTAGGTATGCTTGCACTGGGCGCGCTGGCCCCCTGGTGCTCTATGGTTGTACTGCGCTGGGTGCAACTACGAGGGCGCTGGGCACAGAAAAGAGAATTTACTATGTACTGAATTATGTTGTTTTATGC